TACTCTTTTGAGCAGTACATGTTCGGGGAGCGTTACCGCTCTTAATAACGTGGCCAAGCGCTCCCGCATGTACCGTTCCCTCAGTCTACCTTGCCTCATGAACGGTTCTGGTACACCATGGATGAGAACGTTGCGATGTCTACCAATGGCTGCATCTGTGTTCTTTCGCAGCCTCTCAACCACCTCAGCTAAGATGGCTTTTCCTTCCTGAGACGATTCAGGTTTTCCTCCTGCCCATCCATCCACCTAGCTAGGTTCTCAACGGTGGCTGTGATCTCACTCTTAGATGTCATGTTGGTAGGTGCCACTCCTTTGTTTCCGCTCTTCTTTTTCTGTCTTTTTGCCTTTGTGCTTACTTTTTCAGGCACTGTTCTTTCCTCGATTTCGACCAAGGGTGGAAAAGGAGCCATGCACCCCTTCTTTTGGGCTTTAGTTTAGGTCTGGACACCTGCCTTTCTTTTGTTTTAAGGTCCCACAGTAAAGTTGTGCAGGCTGGGCACACCCACTTCAGGCGTTTGTGTTTCCCGTATAGTAGGAAGCTGCCACTCATCAGCCCACTGCATTTCGGGTGGAACCAGGTGCTGCAGGTGTTACAGCCTATGCCTTCGTTAAAAACCTCAACATTGCAGCTATCCTTCCCACACGGATACTCCTGGACTAACGTGGCTGTCATGCATTTCCCTGTGGATGACCTGGTGCCCATGCCTTTATGGTTAAGCTCCATATCAATCATTTAAACGAGTTTGGAATATTTATAAACAGAGATCAAACGTGAGCAGATAGAAAACTAAGAGTAAAACTGCGGATGCTATTAAGATAAAGCCTTCGTTATTGTGCGCTAGAAATCTCGGATATACAATATTCCTTACAGTAGAATTGGAAAACCGCTGGTATTGCACTTTATGTCAAGTGAATCCCGCCAAGATACACAGTACGATGTTGGCTCACCTTGTGCATTTTACTTTGCCAAACTTTAAATCCTTTGTTCCAGTTCCTATATCCCGGAATTTTCGGCTCTTTCCTTGGTTTTGCGACTTCTTTGATCCGAGGAGTCCCCACGTCAAATTTTCGAACCGCGCGCTTAAGGTCAAGGCCCCTTCGAAGTAATGTCAGGTGGACCTCTGGACCGTCCACACAGCACACCTCGTAAGGCATGCAATTTGGTTCAGATAACTGACAACAGGTAACCAACCTGCCACACCGACCAGAAGCAACCTACTAACTTGTTTATTTTCTTTTCTTTTTGCATACACTTTCAGATTACAAGAATAAACGAATTAAAAACAGAAATTTCCGAAAATCAGACTACTGTATAGGTCAAAAAAGAGACAAAACTCCAAGCCAACGAGCTTTCTCCGCCTGTAAACTGGATATTGGACATTGAGTTTATAAAGTGCTCTCGGTTTTAAATCGTTTGTTCAAGCTAAAAGGAGATATTTTACATTATAATTACCTATTTTTACCGTGTTTTGTTTAACCCGTGAAATATCGCAAGATATTTCATAGTACTAAACTCTGACTGGTTTTGACTAGTCATTGAGAAACGTTTCTGTTGTTTAGAAGTTTTATAGGTTGTCCGTTTAGGTTTTCCTCTATGGTTGCGTGTCTCTTTGTTCCTTATTCGGTTCATTCTAACATATTGATAAAATTGTACATAAGAGTGACCACTGTGACATGAGTCAGTGCCAGGAACAGGTTGAGAATGGCATCCAATGTGATAGATGCAAAGCATGGTCCACCAAAAATGTTGCAAATTAACTAAGATGGATTATTTGCTTCACAGGGAATATCCAGCGCTGAAACGGATATGTGGTTACTGCGTTTCTCTGGCGGAAGAGTGCTCCCGCAAATTAAGGGGAGAGGTGCTGAAGGAAGCAAGTAAAACGGAGCCACCAGCTAAAACTAAGACCTCCGAAAGGGAGGGAAAAACCGAAAAAAGCTGTTAGCCAAAAGGTTAACAAAGTAGGGAACATAGCCCCAATCGACAAGGCGAATCCAGTAAAGACGGCGGAAATAGCCGTTTTTACTGCCAAGATCTAAGCGCTAGAGAAAGAGTTAAGGACGATAAAAGAAACGCAACAAGTGCTCCTGTGTCGAACGAAGCATGTATTGTTGCATAATATCCCGGAGCCTATCATACGGGATAGGCATGAAGCCGATAGGAGGCATGTCCAGAACATGTTCAGACTAGCAGGCCTTTTCCCCACAACGCGTTACATGAAGAGTCACCGTGTCAGCTTTTGGAGGGAGTTTACAGCTCAGAAGCCGAGACCCATATTGGTGGTTTTCAGTAGCACGTATATGAGAGACCTGGTGCTAGCAAAAGCAACCAGGATAGAGATAAACACCAGAGGAGCTGTACGAATAACTCCGGACGACGGGACCAGTATTAAACCGGTCAATAAGGAGCATACCATCAAGGGGAAAGCAACCCACAAGGAACCCCAGTTGGGAATACAAAAAAGGAGAGCAAATGAACGGTGTGGCGAAACCCAATCCTCGCCTGTATCACAAACAGGCAAAGCAGGACGGGACGCACTCAGCGGTGAGACTGTTAAGCAAATCCACACCGCGCACGGTGATGCCTGGGGAAAACACCATCAGGAATCACCGACTAGTCAAAAGGGCACCAATGGCCGCCCAATTAAAGGAGGCCATGGAAAAACCGGAAGCTAGCCAATGCCCTAGGAGTAAGAACTCTGAAGATGAATTACCGACGGAGACCTGGGCAACTATCGTGGTAAGAACGCCAACTAAGGGACCAAGCCCGAAGAGGCCAATGTCCCTCGATCAGAGAGATGGGTCCACAGTAAGAAACCCAGGGTTAGGTTTTGGGAAGGTCATCAACTCGCTAGGGGACATGACTTAGGCGGTGATGCAGTCCCCGGGGGCAAATAAGTCAAAAAACGAGTCGGTTCCTCGGGCCCTGCGACCGAGGATTCGCCGGAATTAAGGCAGGCTCACCACCCTAAGGAAGAAGAGGCTGCCAATGTGTGGTACACAAATTCCTGTAGCACTAAAGCTAAGTGGGGTGAACTGGAGACTCGAATCCAAGGTTCAGTGATCATAGTAATCAAGGAAACATGGATGCAAAAAGAGCACTTCACAAACTGCCCTAATAACTATGCTGTCTACAGGCAGGATAGAGAAGATGGCAGACAAGGGGGAGGAGTGTTGATCTTGGTCAAGAATAATATGAACCATTGGAATGCACAAATCACCCTAGCCACACCTAATATCCAGGTCATAGCATGCAACGTGCTTCTAGGTAGGAGACCATTAAGTATAATGTGTGTGTACAGAGCACCACAAGCAACATCCCTAGAGGACACTGAGATACTTGCGGTTATGCAAATGTGCCTTTCGAAGTCCCAAAGGGTTATAATAGTTGGAGACTTCAATCTCCCGGAGATCGACTGGGTGGAAGCGCGTGCAACGAGTGGGTCTACAGGTGAAACTCTGCTAGACTGGCTATACTCACACGCGCTGACACAACACGTTAAGCAGGCCACACGATTCGGGGATCAACAGAGGTCGTCCATCTTGGATCTAGTCACAACAAGATACGTTTCGGATGTAAACGAGATAAAACTAGAAGAACCACTGGGCAAAAGTGATCATCTAGTGTTGAGATTCCTGCTCTCGGAAAAGCACAGGAAGCCAGAAGCCTCATTGGTACGGTGCTATAGTCA